TCCAGGCTAGAGTGAGCGCCATGGCATCAGCCTAGTTCACAGCAACCTCAAACTCCTAGGCTCAAGCGATCCTCCTGCCTCAGCCTCCCGAGTAGCTGATACTATAGGCATGTGCCACCATGCCCGGCTAATTTTTTCTATATGTATTAGTCGGCCAATTAATTTCTTTCTATTTATAGTAGAGACGGGGTCTCGCTCTTGCTCAGGCTGGTTTCAAACTTCTGACCTCAAGCAATCGCCGCCTTGGCCTTCCAGAGTGCTAGGATTACAGGCGTGAGCCACCACGCCCAGCCATTTATTATTTATTTCTAATTCATAAACTAGAGTAGAGGAAGTACTGAAGGAAGGAAGGAGAGATGGGGGAAGAAAGCAATTTTGACTGACAATGGAACCAGCCTCCGGATATAGAGAGGGGATAAATTCAGCAGCTTAAGAGGCAAGCCTGGTTTGTTATGTGCCTCATTTCTCAGGAACATCCCTAATCCATCAAGGTCATTATTAACATTCTTTGTCTTTGTAAAATTCATCCTGTTAGACATTTGCTGCCTCTGAATAAGCTTGCTTTTGGACATTTGATGTATGAGTACCATCTGCTAGGTTAGTCTGTGTCAGTCAATAGTTTCAATCCACAATCTTCTCTTGGCCGAGGAAAAAAGGCAAGCTGCATTCTATTGCAGAGCATGTCTTCACACCTCTTATCTGTGCATTTTTTAATAGGAGTTGGTTTTGTAAAAACGGGGGAAGAGACTGTAAGATTGTATTTTTCTGCCTTGATGCCACAGAGGAAACAGTGAATCTGGTCAAAACCAACCACAGCAGGAAGCTCTGATTTAGTCTAAAAAACCTCTCAAGTACACCTTAATAGCTATCCCTTGATTCATTTAAATTCAGTGAAGCAGCTGAGAATTGCCAGCAGCCATTCTAATCTGTTAATACTCCACATCACAACAAAAATCAATATTGACATCATAGATAATGAACTAGCTGTAGCTTTAGTTTCAACTCAAGAAAAAACAAGACTACTTTCAGCACCGGCAAGAAACTCAGAACTTCTTTCCCATTAGTTACTATTTAATGAGTTCCCAGCCCCACACTCAATGTCTCTTCCAACACTGGAGGATCCTGTACCACCACCAACACAACACAGGGTTTTACCACTGAGAAACTAGCCGGCCCATCCCCTTCTGCCACCACTAGGACCTTTTAACTTGTCACAAAGGCGGCCCACTCCGGGAAGAGTGTCACATTCCAGAGGAAAAAGGGGTTCAAAAGCAACACATCAATACAATCAAAATTTTGCTTTATAGATTGCTAAATAGTTCCCTTAATAAAATCAAATTCAACTCACAGTAACTCATTTAAAACCAGGTCATGCCTCCAGTACAACCACACAAGGCCTATGGAGGTTTATAAAAGATAACTTGGTGCCATCCACTGGGGGAACTCAAGGAGACAACAGATGGACATCATAAAATGACATCTATATGAGAGCCCCAAAACCTAGGTTAAGTAATGAAAACTCAGGACAGGTATGCCCAAATCAGATGGTGCTAATCAAGTAAAGAAGTCTGGAAATCATCATGTATATGACTCAGAAGAAGTAGAGCAAAGAATACTGCAGATATGAAATACCACATGGAAAAGCACTGGGATGGGACAGGAAACAATTTGGTTAGTTACAACAGAGGGGCTTCATTGGGGGTTGAGGAAGGACAATTTATATTTGAGTTCAGGGGCAGGGAATCAATTGTTCAAAAGTTTTAAAGGCCACATGTTTGAATTTCCATTTAAATCTTAGGAAAGAGAACCACTGTAGGTTCTTGAGAAGTTTAAAACGAAGTGTAAGCATCTTTTCTTCAGGTGAACGAATGGCTGGAAGCCAAGAGAGTGCAGTGCTGAAAGCTGGAGGATAAGGAGAGGTAATGGCTGTGGTCACAAAATAGCACATTTCAAAAGCTGATGCTCCTGGAGTAAAATGTTAACAACTTTTTACATTTGGGAAACTGTATGTTCTGTTCCTTATTCATTTTATTTTTTTAATCATTTTAAAAGTTTGAAATTATGTCCAATTTAAAAACAAAATGAAACAAAAGCAGCATTCCTTAACCACCGTTTGGCTTTGGGTCTGTCATGTATAGCTCCCCTTCCACCCCTGCATTCTCCACCAGTGACAATTATCAAGCAGGGTTGTAGGTAGCAAGAGGAGGGAGCCAAAGTTTTATCATTCCTTAAACTTTTAAACTTTATTTAAAAATAATTATAGACACTGAGGAAGTTGTAAAAGTAGTACAGAGAGGTCCCAGGTACATTTCACTCATCATTCCTTAAATTTTATTTTAACTTTTTTTTCTTATTTTATATATATATATATTTTCTTTTTTGCAATTCTTTTTCTTTTTTTAAAAATTAAATTACTATTACCAAAGAATTTCCCAGAGAATATTCCTTAAATTTTAAAGGCAAATCTTTAAAGTCAAATTCCAAATGGTTAGGAAATCAGATTTTAACTGCAAACCACTAGGTTCACCCCTGTAAGAAAAATGCATTTCAACTGACAGAGTAAAACTTCCCCTTATAAGAACTTTCAATAGCCTTTCTGAAGGTCTTCAATGGTCAAATTTATGAAAGCATCTTCAACAGATACTTCTGAAGTACATGAACAGGAAATTCACCCAAAAATTCAAATGGCCAATAAACCACCAAACACAAATGCTCAACCTTACTAAAAACAACAAAGAATTGGAAACAAATCAATGAAATAATTACTGTCACCAAATTCAATGATTATTATATGTGTGATCCTGGCAACAGCACAATGAGATAAGCTGCCTCCTTGAACTAGTGGTTAGAACATAATTATTAAAGACTTTTCTGAAAACCAGTAAAATTAGAAACCAGAAAATCAGTAAAAACTTTCCTGTAGTATAAACAATGAAAATAATTGTGTAGGAGCTACTAAGCACAACAATGTTCATACCCATACACGCACCAGGCTAAAAAGGGGGAAGGGCATTAATGTTAGTTTCCTCCATATAATAATAGGCTTATCAGTAATTTTTATTTCCTACTTTTAGGTATTTCCAAATACTTTTGTCATCTGGAAAAAATATATATGTAAATGCATGTCAATCTTTTAAAATATTAATCATTATCTTTGGAATATAAAATTGCCCTAGCCTATCCCCCACACCTTTCCCACCAGAAAACTAAGGCATAGAAAGATTCATTTTTATACAATCAGGTCACACTGTATGCATCTAATCTGCTCTTATATTCAAGATTACATAGTGAAGTAATCTAGCATAAAGGTATCATCAAGGCCTTTGGTTTCAGTTCCACCAACATAGCAGCAGTCTGACCCTCAGGCAAATCATTTACCCTAACCAAGCCTCAGTTTCTCCATCTGTAAAACGGAAATGGCAACACTTTTCAGAAGATTAAATGAAACAGCTTACGTAAAGCATTGAGCATGACTCTTGGTACAGAGGAAGTCTTCCTCTACTATTGACTATTCTAGTAACCATTTCTTCAAGTTGGTAAACATTCTTTCATATGTGATTTTTAATAGACATACAGAATGGATATTCCATAATGCAATCATTTCAACACAGGATACAATTGAGAATTTTTTGTTCTTACAAGTAAGGCTACAATACTGCACATGATGCTACGCAAAAACCTTTGACTGTCTCTCATTATTTCCTTAGGAAATATTTCTAGAAGTGAAATGACAGAGTCAAACAGTATATATAAATGTCCACTTCAGCTTTAAAAAAACACATAATTTTAAACTCATTATAAAAAACTTCAAAAACAGATGTACAGGAAAAGTGAAATATTCTCCCCCTCCCCTCAAAATGAACTGTTTTAGACTGTATCTTTCCAGACCTTTTGTATGTGTTTTCTGTGCATATAAAAGGTAATATGCACAAAGCTGGTTTTGTTTTCACTCTTAAATGAGATCATGCTATACATATTTTGCATTTGTTTTTCACTTATTATTTCTTGGATCTCTTCCTATGGCTTACAAATACAGATTGAGGGGTACACACATATACATTTTCTACATAGTATAGATATACCATTGTGTATCTAATAGTACCTTTATTGATAGAAATTTGGAGTTTTTACAGTTTTCACCACTAAAAGCAATGCTGCCTTGACAAACCTATATAAATATTTTTTTTTATTTTTGAGACAGAGTGTCACTCTGTTGCCCTGAGTAGAGTGCTGTGGCATCATTATAGCTCACAGCAACCTCAAACTCCTGGGCTCAAGCGATCCCCCTGCCTCAGCCTTTCTTTTTAAGTTAGAAACACAACTTTTTATACAGGCATTAGCAGATTTAACCTTGATATAGGGCAGTAAAATATGGTAAGTATAATCTTACATCAGATTTTTATTTATAGGTAATGAATCTGAGGCCCAAAGAAGATAATTTTCAAAAGATCAGGTTTGAGAGATATATGTAAGAGTATGTGTGTGTGTGCGTGTGTGTATGTACGTACATAGAAGAAAGTAGTACAGTGAGAGGAAAAGGACTTGACGGGGAGGAGGTGAGAGAAGGCATGGCGGAAGGTTTCTCCGGGGTCCCACATGAGCTGGCCCTTGCAGACTTGACAAGCTGACCAGCAGAGACGAAGTGGAGAATCCCAAGTGGAGGACAGAGAATGAGAAACAGAGGCAAGAAACCCAAGGCCATGTTTAAGACTGCAAGGTCAGGAAATACCGTGCTCCAAGCAGGGGTACAGTCCTAACCTAGCCACCCCACGGTGCCCTCTGAGGAGAACCACTTGCCTACAGGCCCTGAGAGGGAACATGTCCCACCCAACTCCACCACTGTTATGGATCATACCAAGAAAAGATCTGAGCTAAGGACAGCGGGGTGATGAGGTAACCTAGTCCAGAAGCTCCACCCACGTGTGAGGTTCTGACGCTGGCTCAATCAGTAGTAGAATCAGTCCCTGAAAACACAGACCAAGTGAGGCCACAGTCTGTACCAGGAGCTCCTAGAAGAACCAGGACCTTCAAATGACAGTAACAGAGCTTCCCACTTGACCTTCCTGAGCCTGGAGTGGTTCTTCTGTAAACTGAGGAAGCCCTCCTCCACTGTCTTCAAAGAATTTTCCACAAGGCTCTAAATTCTACCAGTCTGTGATTCAATGATTCAATTTCCATGGAATCAAACATACTTAAGAGTCCTACTTTTCCATTTTGTAGCAGAGAAATTCTTGGCAACTGCGAAAGTCAAGCAAAGGAAACCAGAGTGCACTTCAGCTGACTAATGTGCCTAAGGCAGTTAAGTCACAATATTTTTCAAATAATATTGAAACAGCTCATCTCACATTAACAAATACTTTTAGACCTCCAAACTCATCTTGCTTAGCCCAGCTATAGAAACATCCCTTCTGTGTTCTGCTCGTAGGTGAGAGCTGCCGAGTCCAGGAGGAACGAGACGAAGAGACGCAGCGCCATGTGTGCAGAGGCACTGAGGATGGGCGTCTACCTAGCCTCCTCCAGCACTGCCCACCCCCACTGCCAAACCACACAAAAGGAGGCCCTTCCCAGGCTGCCCTGCTCTGGCTGTGATGGGGCAGAGCACCCATCAGGTTTGCCACCCAGCACTTCAGTCACTCTCACTCTGCACAAATGTCACTCCAAGCACAGCCTCTCAGCTTTAGCCCTTCATGAGTCCAAACTATACCACCTCCACATCCCTCCAACCCCAGACATCTGCAGCCCCACCTCCCAGCCTGAGTCACTCCCACCACCTTCACCTCTACCTCTGCTGGGTAGGGCTGTGGGAGGTGGGTGGGTAGGGGCTGCTGCAGACCCCAGCCAGGTGGTGGCTGCAGATGTAGACCTGGTCCACGTTGTTCAACCCCACACTTGATGTTTCTAGGATATTCCTGAATTATCTCTGATATCCTAGTTAGATTCCCCACTGGTGTGATTCCAGGCCTTGTCTCTCATACAGGCCTCCAATTTCATCTCTCTCCTTTCTCCCTGTCAGAAAATGGCCTTGACCCTAAGTGACTGGGAAGGCAGTAGGAATTGCCATCTTGTCTCCTATACCCATCCAGATACGCCTATCATTATTCCCATCCTTCCGTTAGAAACTTTTCCATCCACTCCTCTCTATTCCCTACCCTCTGACCCTGCCCAGGTCCAAACAGGTCTAATTCTAAATTCTAAATCCACCTGTCCCCTTGTTCCTGCCCATTCTAACCCCACTCCACACTGATTCACTCTCATCCATCATGGGACTGCTGCTCTTCCAACCACCTTGGCCCCCAACCCAAATGGTCATCTCTGATGTTCTTTTCTTATTTATCCTCCAAACCTCTTTAGTTATGATGCTGGGACCCTAGAATAAGGGGATATGTCTACATTCCAGAAAAAGACAATTCTAGAGAACAGAAAGCCAAAGTCCCAGTGGATAAAACCCAGACACTTCTTATCCATCTGCCTCAACAGAACTTCTGGAGTGTGAACTCTAATTTTCAAACCAGCCCAAGGACTTGAGTCTGCTTTGATTCACGTGTGAAATTTTCTCATTTAACAGAAGCAAGACCCTGGAAAAGTACAACTGACTCAGACACACAGAAGCCCAGGTAGCAGTCAGAGAAAATGCTTCTACCCAGAACCACTCCATGTAGTAGCAGAGTGGTCACAAAGCCCTGGGACACAAGAGTGTCCTGGGAACAGCTAAAGATCTACTCTCAGTTATGAGGAGCCGATTCAATGACTTCCAAGCAGCATCATGGAAGAAGGCATCAAGCAGAACATGGGAAAATTAAAAATTTATCCAGACGATAGAGCAAGGCATACAGTACCTTCTAATTAGCATGCATAGGAACTTGGTCACTCACCAGTGGAAGTTAAATTCCAAGGTCAGGGTACAAAGTAAGTTACCCACAGCCAAATTATCCCTGAGAATCTCTTGAGTCTCCCACAAAGTACCATATACATGCTTCTGGCAACCCTGTATAGTCACTGTTGTGCCTATCCAAGTTCTAAAAACTTTGAGGCCAACTAAAGGACAGAACCAAAAGGGAGACTAAATGCAAGCTGGCCATTCACACCACTCACTCAGCCCTAGGAAGACCAACAAATCCCTCCCACGAATGGGATGGTCTGTGGGGCTCCTGATTGCCCACAGTATCTGTTCCATCTTGTTTTAGTATTAAACTTCTATAACTTTAATATATATTAATAAACGTGTTTGTTGTGATGAGTAAGATGGAAGATGGTTAGATTTCTGAAGTGAGGTGAGAATTGAATGGGCCCCATGGTGCAAGACTACTGCACAGAAAATCTAGTTAAGAACTCAAACTCTGGCCGGGCGCAGTGGCTCACGCCTGTAATCCTAGCACTCTGGGAAGCCGAGGCGGGTGGATTGCTCGAGGTCAGGAGTTCAAAACCAGCCTGAGCAAGAGCAAGACCCCGTCTCTACCATAAATAGAAAGAAATTAATTGGCCAACTAATATATATATAGAAAAAATTAGCCGGGCATGGTGGCGCATGCCTGTAGTCCCAGCTAGTCGGGAGGCTGAGGCAGCAGGACTGCTTGAGCCCAGGAGTTTGAGATTGCTGTGAGCTAGGCTGACGCCACAGCACTCACTCTAGCCTGGACAACAAAGCGAGACTCTGTCTCAAAAATAAATAAATAAATAAATAACTCAAACTCTGAAATTAAACAGACCCAGCTTTAGATCCCAGTTCCACCTCTTATCAGCGTGTGACCCTGGACAAATAACTGCAAAAAGCCTCTTTTTCCTCACCTATAAAATAAGGGTAATGGTGCCTACCTAACAGGGACTACTGGAAGAATTAAGAAATAATACTTAACATATGTAAGCTTTTATTTTTATCAGTATCCACAGCAGGAACGAGCACATCTTTTTTTATCAATGCCAAGTTGGGCAGGGGACTCACCAGCATGTTATCAAGAATCAAACAGACAGCTTGTCTCCAGCCTTCTCTAATCACCAGAACTAGATTGTCCCGACTGTCTGATTTTAGGTTTAGTTCAGGCAGCGTGACCATTAAGAATGACAAACACAAGGACAGTGTTAGAAATATGGAAAGGTCTATTGTAATACAAAATGAAAAAGCAGAATTTAGGATGCTGTGCATCCATCATCTAAGTAAAAGGAACACCCAGTCAAGAGGATCCTATGAGGCTACAGAGACTAAATATTAACAGCTGGTGTTTCATCGTGAAAGCATTATCTTTATTGCTTTTACTACAAAGCTGGTTAAAAGGATCATTTTTTAAATGAAGGCACTGGAGAGTTTCCTTAGCCTGTTTTTCTGTCCCCTCCCCATGTTGGCCACATGTTTTGCAAGATTCTAATAATGTTTAACGGTAATTAATTCTGTTTATTATTTTTCCATTTCAATACTGATCCAAATTTTAATCAACAATCCATATTTATAAAGGGTTCATAATATTATGAAATCAAATCACTGCCACAACAGGTGTGATGCTGATAAGCATAGCTAAACAAGCAGGAAACAATCAGCTGCTTAATTTTGATAGTCAAGGGCACTCACGTTCAAGGTCAACCTCATTCTAAAAGTAGTGAGCATGTTCAGTTTGGGGAGTGAGACCTGATACCAGCTCTAGTAACAATGTCCAGAGTTAGACCAATCCTGTCTCAGAAAACTCCTATTATGTCATCCACAGCGAATCAGAACTTGCTGTCAGCATGAAACCATACAGAGTTGCAATTCCACACAAAAGCAAGGAAACTTGATGGTTTGGGTAGCTTGTTTGTCCTCATCCTGGGTAAATGGAGGGTTTCTATTAAGCCTTCTGAAATGTTACAAATGGCCTGGTTCCCGTGGGTTCCTTTGCAGATGCCATGAGCCTAGGTCAGTTCCACCTAGCAGAATGCAGGTGGGACACACACCTGATTATCCTTAATCATTACCTTCATAGCTCTTAAAGGGCAGATGCATTCTGGGATTAGGTGAAGAAGTGTACCAGAAAATCCTAGGAAACATCTTAAACACGAGATGGCACAGCCACTCCTCTCCATCTCAGAGCTTATCATGATTAGGGAGTTCCACAAGCCATGGATTGGAAGACATATAATTTGAAAAACCTCAGTAATCTTATACAAGCCTACATGTGCACAACCATACACACATACATACACACCTGCCAAACACCCACCCTGGAACTGAGACTCACTGGTCTAAACAACAGGAACACACTGCACTTACTTTATTTTTAAATTTATTTATTTATTTTTAATTTTTTTTTTTTTTTTTTTTTTTTTTTGACAAGGTTTCACTCAGCTGCCTGGGCAAGAGCGCAGAGTGGTATGATCATAGCTCACTGCCTTCTCTGCTGGGGCCTGGTCCTAGCCTCCCAACCCAGACCCCAGGTACAGAGTTGTCCCCAGCCAGGGCCTCCATGGATACCCATTCCTGGAGTATGGTTGTGCACATGTAGGCTTGTATAAGATTACTGAGGTTTTTCCTTGCTCTGTTCTACTGCTGTCTCGAAGGCCAAAAGCAGGGTAGAAAGCAGAAATGAGGGTTAAGGAAGGCAAGTGGAATTAAAAAAACTTGGATGCACAGAGGAACAAGACAAAAGCTGTTTCTTAGCAGATCAGGGAAAATAAGCACAGGAGCATTTCATAACCAGAAATATATGAGTACATTGCACAGAACCAAACTGTCTCATCTAATTCTGGAGGCTCTATAAACCTGATGGCTGTAGTGGGGCTCCATTTCACATCTCAAAGAAATGAATGCTGTAAAGTTGTGATCGTGATGTTTTTCTGTTCACAAGTCTAATAACTGCCTAACAGCGGTATCCTGCCCTTTCCAGACGATTAGTGCTGAGTTTGTTGTTGTTTTTTTTTCCCTTCTTCCAGCTTATGTGGGTCCTCAGAGAGTACTGTCTGCCAAAGCAAAACGCCAAAACAGGAGAACTTTCTGGCCATCCATGTGCAATTAGAAGCCCATTAAACACCACTCAGATAACTCAACACCCCAAATTGTCCTCCACAGTACAGCTGACAGCTGAGGCTAAGTGGAAAGGGCACCAGCTCAGGAGCAGCCTCGCTGGGTCTGAATGAGGGTCATGATGGCAAAGCCACACACCCTTCAGCTTGGTGGGAGAAAGAATAAATGGGACAGCACTTCATAAACTACCAAGTTTAGGCAGTGACTGCATGGGAATGCCATCATTAAGCACACTGCCTTCTCCCCCCATGGATCTTTATGTTGGAGCAAATGACACCAACAAATACTATTACATGTTCTCAAAAGATCCTATCAACTTGGTAGTTATTCTATTCAAATAAAGATGTATAATGGTTATTTTTTTCTTGAGAAAATATAGGTTTTTTTCCTCCAAAAATTTTATGATCGCCATTTTAGTTTCTGCAGTAAAGAACACCATTAGTACTGAGCAGTGCGTAGGCCAGTCAACTAACAGAAATTATTTCTCAGAGGAAAGGCAGGCCAAGGGCCACAGAGATCCAAATCTGTCCTACTTGTGGTTTGCAAAGATCTATCAGAGGGACCCTGACCAACAACAACTAACTTTTACAAGGGCCAGCCCTTTAAGTGCTTACCACCAATCTCTTTTAAGCTTTACAACTCTGCAGGGTAGATACTATCATTTCTTCCACACTTCCAGATGAAGAGAAAAACAAAGTGGTTTAGACAACTTACCAATGTAACAAAGCTACTAACCAGCAGAGCTAGGACTCCCACTCCAAGACCTGCTCTTAACCACTGTGCAACACTGTCTCATGAGATATTTCCATTGACAAGCCAATCTGGAGCCAACAGAAGCTTTCCACAGAGTTCTGTGCTCCAAAAAAGGGTTCCATCCATTTAACATTTACTGAGTACACTGCTGGAAAGATAAAGACCTTCACCTTATTTACCCAGGGAGCACCAATTCCAGGAAGACCTTGAGCCTGAAGACTCAGGCAAGCACTAAAAGGTGCTAAAAGAAAAAGTTGCAGGAATTCACAGAACAGGCTATAAAATACTTTAGTCTATTGTCATAGACCTCTTAAGACCTGTTTGGGGTAAACAGCAGCCTATTAAGAATACATGCTCCAGACCTGGCAAAGTGGCTCATGCCCGTAATCCTAGCAATCTAGGAGGCCGGGGTGGGCAGATCTCTCGAAGTCAGGAGTTCAAAACCAGCCTGAGCAAGAGTGAGACCCCGTCTCTACTAAACATAGAAAGAAATTAATTGGCCAAATAAAAACATATAGAAAAAATTAGCCAGGCATGGTGGCGCATGCCTGTAGTCCCAGCTACTTGGGAGGCTGAGGCAGAAGGATTGCTGGAGCCCAGGAGTTTGAGGTTGCTGTAAGTTAGGCTGACGCCACAGCACTCTAACCCAGGCACCAAGTAAGACTCCGTCTCAAAAAAAAAAAAAAATTTTTTAAATAAAAAGAATACATGCTCCATACTACAAAGACTTTCTTACAGGATAGTAAACCACAGTTTTTACCAAAAAGAAACCCAGCAGGCCTAGATCAGCCTCAGTATAACCTATTTTATCCCACCCCCTAATTCACTATTCCACATAAATATAATAAATGTTCTACTGCATATACTAAAATTACTAAAACTCTAAAATTCTGTACATCCTTTTTTGTGTGCTATGGGAAAATATTTCCATCTTTAGGGAAGTTGATTACATCAGCCTGGGACTTTACTGAGATGCTAAAAGAGGCTACATCAGATGAGGCTCCCTATGAAGTTCCATCTGTAGCAAATGTTCATCCATATTACTGATTACCTGGTGACTTTGTTGATGACTCTATCTCTCCTCCCTTCCCTCTGCCTACACTGGCTGTCTGAAGAAGCTGCTACCACAGATTTTTCCCAGTGTACACTATGAAATGTTCATCTTAATGGCTCAAGGTACAGTCAGCCCTCTGTATTCACAGGTTCCATATCCACAGATTCAACCAACTGCAGATGGAAAATATTCAGGGGGGAAAAACAATAAAAAATAACAATACAACTAAATAATACAAATTTAAAAAACAATACAGTATAAAAACTATATCATATTAGGTATTATAATTAAACTGGAAGTGATTTTAAGTACATGAGAGGATGTGTGTAGGTTATATGCAAATAATACACCATTTACATAAGTAACTTGAGCATCCTAGAATATTGTTATCTGAGGTAGGTGTCCTAAAACTAATCCCCTATGGATACCAAGGGATGACTGGATGACTATACTACCATACAGGAACTAATTTAAAACATAACTCTTAGCTAAAGACAAACTTTGTATTTTTCCCTCAATTTATTATGCATATAAAACAAGCATTTGGAGTGATCTACAGCTCTCTTAATTTCAGAATTTATTCAGTTAC